TGAGATCTGGGACCCTGTGATGGCTTTGGGGTTGAGCTGTGGGCCCCTGGACCCCACAGTGGATTTGGGGGGTGGCTGTGGGATCTGGGACCCCGCAGTGGCTTTGGGGTTGAGCTGTGGGCCCCAGGACCCCACAGTGGATTTGGGGGTTGAGTTGTGGGCCCCGGGACCCCACAGTGGCTTTGGGGGGGTGGGCTGTGGGCCCCGGGACCCCACAGTGGCTTTAGGGGGGATCTGTGGGCCCACCTGTCACGATGTGGGGGTCGATGTTGAAGGTGTCGTTGGCGGGGTCGATGCGGCCCTTGCGGAAGTAGCGCTGGCACAGCAGGAGCGCGGAGCCGTTCCCGGCGCCGCCCCGAACGTACGCGTAGCGGCCCAGGGCCTCGCCGGGCAGGGCCAGGTACTGTGGGACAAGGTGGCCTCAGGGGCTGGACATGGCCCCACATCACCCCTCTGACCCCACACCACCTCCATGTCCCCACACGTACGCGTAGCGGCCCAGGGCCTCACCGGGCAGGGCCAGTGTGGTGGTTTGGTCACCAAGGAAGGCCTAGTCCAAACCACCACAGCCAGGTACTGTGGGACAAGGGGGTTCTGAGACACCTCCATGGCCCCAAACCACCCCTCTGACCCCAAACCACTCCTCTGACCCCAAACCACTCCTCTGACCCCACACCACCTCCGTGTCCCCACATGTACACGTAGCAACCCAGGGCCTCACCAGGCAGGGCCAGGTACTGTGGGACAAGGGCCTTGAGAAACCTCCATGGCCCCAATCCACCCCTCTGACCACAAACCACCCCTCTGACCCCAAACCACCTCCACGGCCCCAAACCACCCCTCTGACCCCAAACCACCCTCATGGCCCCACACCATCTCCATGTCCCCAGATCACCCCCGTGTCCCCACTTGTAGGTGTAGTGGCCGATGGCCTTGCTGGGGATGGCCAAGGACTGCAGGACAAGGGCCCTCAGGGGCTGGACATGGCCCCAAACCACCCCTGTGACCTCAAACCATCCCCATGGCCCCACACCATCCCCATGGCCCCAAATCACCCCCGCGTCCCCACTCGTAGGTGTAGCAGCCCATGGTCTCATTGGGGATGGCCAAGGACTGCAGGACAAGGGCCCTGAGACACCTCTGTGGCCCCAAACCATCCCCATAGCCCCACACCATCCCCATGACCCCAAATCACCCCCATAGCCCCAACACCATCCCCACGGCCCCAAATCACCCCCGTGTCCCCACTCGTAGGTGTAGCAGCCCATGGTCTCATTGGGAATGGCCAAGAACTGCGGGATAAGGGGCCAGAGGTGGCCCCAAACCACCTCCACGTTCCTGAGGCACCTCTGTGGCCCCAAGGACCTCCACAGCCCCACACCAGCCCCACGGCCCCACACCAGCCCCACGGTCCCACTCGTAGGTGCAGCGGCCGATGGTCTCCTTGGGAATGGCCAAGTGCAGCAGCAGGGAACGGCCAAACAGTAGAGCAGGGAATGGCCAAACAGAGGAGCAGGGATGCCCTTGGGAGCTGGAGGTGGCCCTGGAGCCAATTCTATGTCCCCAAACCCCCTCCATGTCCCCAGACCCCCCTGTCCCACCTTGTCCAGGGCGTAGAAGACGCGCTCGTAGAGGCCGCGCTGGGTGTAGACGGCGTAGGAGTCGTCGGCGCCATCCACGTAGTCCTTGAGGAAGAGGTGCTTGAAGGCCACCGTGTTCTCCTCCTTGAAGGCCACCACCATCTGGTTGCTGAGCCCGAAGAGGATGAGCTGGGGGACGAAGGCCACCACTGTCAGCCCAGGCCCCATGGCCCCAAAACATGGTCATTTGGCCCCAAAGGTGCTCACGGGAGGGGAAACGGCATCACCGCGTGACTGGGGGACCTCGAGGTGACGAGGGGCGGCCGGCATGGCCCTGAGGTTGTCCCCATTGCCATCCGGTGTCCCCAAAACCTCTTGAACTGCCCCGTTTTCCTGAGGCAAAGTCCCTCTCCCACCGGAGATGATCTCCGTGGGGACACGGGTGTCACCCCACAGACGGGGGGGGGACAACCTGCCTGGGGACACTGAAGGTGGAGGGATGATCTCCCTGGGGGCACGGGTGTCACCCCACAGACAGAGGATGATGATCTCCTTGGGGACATGCACATCCCACTGGAAATGGAGGGACGATCTCCTTGGGGACACTCATGTCTTGATGGAGGGGACAATCTCCTTGGGGACAGGTGGGATGGGGACAATCTCCTTGGGGACACTTGTGTCCTGATGGAGGGTGAGGACAATCTCCCTGGGGACACTCGTGTCCTGATGGAGGGGACAATCTCCCTGGGGACACACTGCCCCACCACAGATGGGGTGAGGACAATCCCCCTGGGGACACTCGTGACCCCGTAATGTCCCCACACCCCGCGGGGACACCGAGGACCCCGAACTTCCTCTTCCTCCTCAGCTCCTTCCCTGCTCCAAACCCCTCCCCGTGCCCACAATTAGCTCTGATTAATTAACCACGACACTCATTAGCAGGACAAGGGCCCGGGTGACCACGGGTGACCGCGGGTGACAGGACAGCCCCCTCGTGCTGAGCCAGCAGACGGGGGGATGTCACACACATGTCACATGTCACCGTTTCCTCCCTGTCCCGTGACTGTCCCAGCAGCTCCCGCCAGAGTTTCCAGGCCAGGCCGGGAGCAGGTGACAGCCCCGGTTGTCCCCCCTCTTGGGGACACTCTGGCACAGCCTGAGGCACCCCAGGGTGTGGCACCCGGACCCCGGGGACGTGTCACCAGGGCGACCACGACGTGACACCCCTCCCGCCCC